TCTCGTCAGCACTTCTCACCTTATTCATGTTGCCACTGTCAACAACGCAGAAGCTCATTGATTCCAACTTCATTATATATATGCATTAAGTTTTTTTAGTAAATTTTCTATCATCATTGTTCAGCGGATTTTTCCTGCAGTGTTTTACACTGTTTTCTTCCAAAAAGGCTTTGCTTAATAACGGCATCGTTAGCTCATTTAAATTTAAGGTTTGATCTTGTAATGACTGGACATGAACATAAAGTTTCTCAGTGCGAAAATGCTTTGTGAAGCTTTGCACTACCGTTTTGTCTGAAGTACTTACTAACTTACTTACTCCCGTTACCCCCAATGGAGCATAGGCCACCCACCAGTTTCCTCCAACCAACTATGTCCTGGGCTTCACTCTCCAGTTCTTTCCAGTTTTTGTTTATTATTCTCATGTTATTCTCTGTTCCTCGGCGGAGTGTGTTCCTTGGCCTTCCTCTTTTCCTTTAATCTCGAGGGTTACATGTGAGGGCTTGTCTCGTGATGCAGTTCGGTGCTTTTCGTAGTGTGTATCCTATCCAATTCCACCGCTTCTTCCTGATTTCCTCCTCCACTGGAATCTGATTTGTTCTCTCCCACAGTAAGTTGTTGCTGATCGTGTCTGGCCAACAAATACGAAGTATTTTGCGTAGGCAACTGTTAATAAACACTTGTATCTTCTGAATGATGGCTTTAGTGGTTCTCCGAGTTTCCGCTCCATACACTTGCATTGAAAATCCTGATTTCGGTTTTGGTTGAAAGGTGTTTGGAGTTCCAGATATTTTTCAGTTGTAGAAATGCAGACCTTGCTTTGCCGATCCGCGCCCTCACATCTGCATCAGATCTACCTTGGTTGTCGGTTATGCTGCCAAGATATGTAAAGGTGTTAACGTTATCCAAGGCATCTCCATCAAGAGTGATTTGATCGTCTGCCTTCTTGTTCCTCCAACAGACATCCAATCCTTGTGATGGTACTTCTTGTGACCCAGAACTTCGTGACGTGTTGAAGTGATTCCCTCCTTGATCCCTTTCCAATTGTTCTCCAATGTTGCTTCCTCTCCATTTAGTATATCGTGCAAGGCCTGGAACCCATTGGTGAGGGCTATCCTGAATTCGTTGAGTTTTACGGTATCCCAAAGAAGGGCCGTATAAAAATTCTGTGATGTTGTCTGCCCCGTTATCCAGTGCTTCTTTAGTTTCAGTTTCATTTTGGCGATCAGCAAGTGCTGATCTGAGGCTATATCAGCTCCTCTTCTGGTTCTAACATCCTCCATGGTCCTCCTGAACTTTTGATTGATACAGATATGGTCGATTTGGTTTTGAGTAGTGTGGTCCGGTGTAATCCATGTAGTTTTGTTTATGCGTTTGTGCGGGAATTCGGTGCACCGATGATCAGTTTGTTTTCTTTCAAATACAACTATTTAATTTTATCGATAATGGGTTTACAATAAAAAGATTAAAAACACATTTTTCAGAAGTTCATACTAACAACATTGTTGCATCTGATGTTGTGCAGCTATAAACGATGCTTAGTTAAGTATGTTGTGATTTTTTTCACAGTTAAGCATATAACAGACAATGTAAACGCAACCATATATTGATTGGTCTATCTTGGTCTTTTTCTCTGTAAACTGATCTCAGCACACTTTTAAAGTTATGCGAAGGTAATGAGGCACATCATTGAGACGATCACGAAAACCAGTCAATAAGCCGAATTGAATTGAGTTCCTTCCTCTTAATTCACTGCAAATCTACAATGGCGACTTCGCGCTATATATATCATCATAAAATAATCGGTTATTTGGTGTTCTTCTGCATTCTAAAATCGCTATCAATCATGGAAGTATGGGATCAAACAGGATATTTACTGATTGATTAAAACAATCTGAAATGACTTATTTTCACTTAAACAGTGGTCTTTAAATCAATATATCTTTAGTCTACTACATGTTGTCTGATAAATGTTGCGTAGTAAAATTTACGGAGTGAAATTAAATCACAGATTTCAATCAATTAATTAAATTATGCTATCGTCGCCTTTTTGGTGTTTTATACTTGCAAATATCAGTGTTATACAACTAAAACAGTTATAAAAGCATTTATATAAGTTAGCCTATGATGTTCATGTCACCATTTATCTTATCGATTAAAAGTGTTTGATGTAATTCTGGCATAATTACCGCAATTCACCTGTCACTTGAATGATAGATAATGTGTTCATTGGTTGTGCGTTGGGCTAACCTATAATGATGGTATATTGTTTCAGATAGGTAAGTGAGAATGATCAATTAATCATTAGAATTATCATCTGTATCATTAATTGTTCTAAGTTTGTCCGCTTTTTGTCAATGAAATCACGAATGGAGCATTGTTAGACCACCATTAGAAACCTGGAAGCACTGGATGGCCGTTTTGTCCAAGTATGGGACTCTTCGGCAATGATCATCCACAATCCTCACTTGGGTGATTTGAACCTAAAACCTTCTGTCTGGTGTGCTAACCTCTGGATCACTGAGCTGGCATTCATTGATGTTAATGTTTAACTTTGATCAATTTACGGATTTCGCACCTTACCCATTGTCTTCGGTAGTTGCTGCCTACACTTGATATGGTTGAACTCTACTGGTCACGGTTTTTTTGTCAACATCTGTTGAATAAATCCATATATAGTTTTCTGAAGGAACCATTGATGTGTTCCTCTTCCTCGTCAATAGATATTACTCTATCCAGAAATGTGAATTGGTTAGAAAATCTCATTGGTATTTCAGTTTGATTAGAATACTCGAACTTTTACATGTATCCAGTATGTCATGATTCCCTTAAAAGTATCTTCATATCAATCTCATTCTATTTTATTTACATTTTTAACTGGTCACGTTGATCTCATTGAATCTCTAATAATGAGTTATGTCAAGCCTATAATGGACAGTAGTTTTCTTTTATTGCATTTTTCTATCAGATAACAAAAAAAACATTAATGTTGTTCAAATCAACAATCATGTTCAATGATCAATCTTTTCATCGATGTAGTTCTGTAGAAGTTGTTTATCAGAGAATCTCATAACATTCGAAAAAACAGTAAATAATAGATATTATCATTTTTATTTATTAATAGCGAACATATATATATATGTATATATACTCTTCACTAATAAATGTTTTCGTTTACTTTTCATACAGGTATGTGACCATAAATAAAAGAGCTGGAGGATTGGGCATGAGGAGTTGGCCAGCCCATCCTACGGAATACCTATTGGGGATGTTAAATCCCCAGAATTCGCTTGACAAATATCTCTATTTTGGATTTATTTCATGGACCGATGAGTTGACCTTGAGATGATCACATTTCCCACCAGGAAAATCCTTGCCTTTGATTGGTTACTGTGTCATTTTAGTGTGCTATTTTTGTAACTGTCCCAAAGACGTCTCTATAGCGTATAAGTAAACGCAATTTGAGTGCTTAGATTAATTGTGTGCTTGATGGGTGTTTGTAAAATACTATTTCTACACTATATCAAGACTTCTTACTGATTCAGTTTGGTCAAGGGATCACAGTAGCCTACTTGGATGCTGGTTCATTGTTTTGTTCTCGTTATTCGACTAAGGTGAGCTCGTACTGGTTTAAGCGTACCTAGAGATGAGTGTAACACTACCCAGTTCACTAAACAAAAAACGCTAAGCAAATAAAATAGTTCAAAACCATTTTAACTATGCCCTGGCAGTTTAAAGATCTCCGCTTAGTAGAGTTATCAGGTATCATGATGAAAGCCGAGTTTCTTCACAAGTCACGGAGCCGATACTCCTTCTGACAAACATAATGGAATGTTTGTACATTGTGAGAGATTGGAAGATTCATCCAAGTTGCTGTGGAAATCAAATGTCATTATGTAGTGAACGAGAACACAGGTGGGGCAACCGCATTGTATTTAACGAAAATTAGAGAGTTACTCAGTAAAATCGGAAAACCATATCGTGAATCGTTCATTTGCAAAATATCAGTTCATCATATCGAACTGGACTGTTCCTGTTGCAAAACATCAATCCATTATCACTACTATTCATGCGTTTCATACAAATTCCATTGTTTTCTAACTCTTCCTTTCTTGATCTTCCCCCATCTTCAGCTGTCAGACATTACGTTGACACTCACGTCATATACTACTTATAAGTAGCTCGCACCACAATTAATCTGTATCTCAGCTGAGAAACTAATATAACCCATAGAATACTTGATATCTAGTTCTAAAATCGTTTACATTGTGTATTTACCACTGATTATGTTATTTGCAATCAAGTACAATCTCTATACTGAACCAAAATCCTAAAATTTCCAAATTCTACTCATTCATAAATAACGTTTTTCAAAAAAACTAAACACCAGAATTATGAAAGTTACTGTGTATTGAAAAAAAGAAAAGACACCGAGACAAAAAATATATATTGAAAATAGGACAAGATTAGTTTTGTTATAATCAACACAAATCATTGCAATACAACACAATTTTTTAATGTGACCAAATTAAAAAAGTAACTTTAATTTTTTTACAAATATATAAATACTGCGTAAATCCAATTATATCAATATAAATATGCATAAATATTTTTTTGGAGCTCTGAGATGTTGGGGGAGAAAATTTCTAGCTTAAGTAGATGATTGTGATGCAGTTTCGTTCTCTATAGGATGGATATTTTTTTGGTTGTGGAGGTTTCATTGTTCTTCTACTGAACACAACATCATCAGCACAAACTTTAAAAAGTAGAAGTGAAGTAATCGAATTTATCCGCATATATGAATCGTGGCTTGTTCTGTTAAACTAGATCTTGATTGATTATGGGCCATACGTGGAGAATACTTGGAATACTTCCTTGCTACAATCTGAAGTTTTTGCTAATGATGTTGTGTTCAGCAGAAGAACAACAACAAGAGCTCCACAACCAAAACAACATCCAGCTCGTAGAGAACAAAACTCCATCATAATATTTTTAAAGTTTTATTAATTTTCAGTGTTTGATAATTCATTCATATGAATTTTTTGTTGATCATGATGAGTTCTGCTTAACAATAAATCATGTAAATTATTTTGTTCATTTAAAAGTACACTCTCACTTGTTTTATTTGTCATTTCAATTGTATTCATGTTATTCTGTAAATAATTTGTCAATACATTCAATATCATTTGATCATTATGTTGAATTGAACATTGATCAATCTCATTGGACATTGAACATTTTCTATATTGACGTAAACATTGTTCCGTATGATGCATTGAATCCGTTCGAGGATGCTGATGCTGATGATGATTAGTTGTAGTGTTAGCATATTTCACTCTTAAATAACATCGTATACACATTTCAAATATTTCACCTAATGAAATCATTGATAGACCAATCCAAATCGAAAATAAACCACCAGTTTGTGATAATAAACTAGTCAATGATAAAACTTCTTTCTCTTCCACTTTACGTACATCAAAATTTGGTCGATTAATTAATACAGCTAATAGTTTACGTTCTAAAACATTAGTATTTTCAAGAATATTTGCCGCTTCACTTTCATTGCCTAATTCTAACAAATGTTGTGCACGATGATATGCTTTAAATTCTGTACTATTAAATATACCTAATTTTTTATTATATGATGAATTTAACCATGTCAGTTGCCAACTTTTTGTTGGCCATGTTGATGTTGATTGTTCTGATTCGTAAGAATAGAATGAACATGGCATTGTACAACTTGGCAATGCACCATGTACATAATTTTCAATAACTGAACGTTTACACATCATACGTGCAACAAATTTACGAAATTCTTCAATACATGTTGAATTCGTTGAAGTATTTTGATTATTTCTATAAGTTGTTGACGATGATGAGTATGGAGATGAGGATGAGGATGATGATGAAACTAGGTCATGACGTGTACAATTCGATGTATGAATAAATTGTGTTAAATTAGTGCATGCATTATAACCGGCATATTCATTATATGGATATTCCATTGAATAACAACCACATTGTTGATTAATATTATTTTGTATAGTAGCTTCACGACATGCATATTCAGAATAATTATAAATCATATCATACAGAGTTAAATTAATTGGATGATTTATGGAACAACGACCATATGGTGGCATTTGTTGTATATTTTCTACAATAGATAAACGTAATTCTGTCAATGTACCAGGTTTTAAATTAATACTTTTATCATTAATATTCGGCAGTGTATCTGCTCCATGTATAGAGATCAATGCACCGGATAATTGGGATTTCACTTCACCATGAAAACAATCAATACAGTGGGCACGTTTTAACATTTCATCTAAATAAATATACATTTCTATATTAGTTGTATCTGAACGTAATGAACTATATGGTTCGAATGTGGCACAATTTAAATATTGTGCATGGATGAATTTACGCCAAATACCTTTACGTTCACATGGTGCTGCTACAGGTTTTGATCCATTTAAATAGGTGATCTGTAAAATGAGGTTGTTTTGAAGAGAAAAAACAACAACAACAACAATAGAACATTGAACACTGAATTTTCGTAAAATGTAAGCATTGATAAACAATTTTATGAATCGCTCAATGTCAGACCACCATTAGAAACCTGGAAACACTGGGCGGCCGTTTCGTCCTGGTATGGGACAGTACGCAGTGGCAGTACGCATCCACGACTCCCGCAAACCGCAGCATTCGAACCCAGGACATTCGGTATTGTGCGCGAACACCTAACCATCGGATCACTGAGCCGGTATCTAACGGTGTTAGCGTCTAACTTGATCAAATTCACGGAGTTGCGCAACCTCACCCAAACAGGTTGAACTGCACTGGTCACTTCTGCTCACTAGAACTCGGAGAAGATTCCTCACGCAGCTAGTCACTAGTGAGCACAGGTAATTTGCATTACGGGGTTGTGAAGATTGTTAAGATACACAATTTTGAAACCATGAATCGAATCCTGCGGGGTGCAGGAGTCGTGGATGCGCGCTGCTGAGAAGTCCCATACCAGGACGAAAAGGCCGTCCAGTGCTTCAAGGTTTCTAATGGTGGTCTAACATTGATCGATTCATGGTTTCGAAAATGTGTAACTTAACAATCTTCACAACCCCGTAATGCAAACAATTTTATACAAAGATCATATTGTTCAATGCTTCTTTGGTTTCAATAGTGAGATTATTGATTGATATTATATCTTTTATACTTTGAAAGGTTAAGAAAAATGCCTTCTGTTTTGTACTTTTCGATTTTTTATGTTATTGACTCAATGATCGTTAAATATCCTGCTCACAGCGGTGTTGATTAATCTTAAGTTAAATTCAATATGAGTCATAGGTATGAAGTTTACAGACAATCCATTGCTCTCTTACTTACGTACGTACATCAGTTCAGGTTACCATATCACATTAGCTCGGAGATACAATTGTCACTTCAAATCCTATAGTGGTAGATGTATTAAAAGTATAAGCGGTAATCGAAGAGATTAGGGTTTGAAGATATTATTCAAGAAGTATAATTCGGTGAGATAAATATAGAAAGAGAAAGACAGAGGTGATGAGGAATTCAGAAGATTAGAATTTCATGGAACACAAAGAATGAATGCACTTGTGCCATTGCAAACGATTTTGAGGCATGTCGTTCAAGGTCTCTAACCATTGGTGACTTACATTGGTGACCTACATCTAACGACATGACTCAGTCCACTTGTCAGTGACTCAATGGATTTGTGCCATGTTTTGGTCTGGCCGCCCCCTAGTTTTCTCCCAACCTACTCCTACACCACAAAACAACTCTCGTCGAGGCAGTCCGTGGTTGGACATTCGTAACATATGTCCCAACCACCTCAACTGATGAAGTCTCACCACTTCATCCATTGACCTACCACCCTTACCTAGTACAGTACAGTTTTATGCTTCATCGGGAACCTGTTTCTTATCTTAAATGAATTTCGTTACCGAAAGATTGTTTCTTCCGATTACAATCTACCTCAGCAGTGAGTTTCTTTGACTACTCACACGAGTATCCAAACCAAAATCTTCAGATTTTTCGCACTCGGTAGCTTAGCCAGTAAGCTACATAACTGGTACTCAGCGGTGTTAATGTCTAAATTCAATCAGTTCACAAATTTTCATAACCTTCATCCATCGGCCATGCCGGATTTCCGTTTCACACTCCATACCCATGATCCTTCACTGATCTTGGTGTCTTACTGGAAATATTTCATCAAGCCACTTGAACACTTTTCTGCGGACCACATTCGTATATTTGTTAATTTTCTATGAAATTTCGGGTCTATTCTTTGATTAAGATTTTGATTCCATACCAATCTGATCGTTTAGATACTCTCAGATTTATTATACTGTATAAAACCAATACTACCATAGGTTATGGTAAAATTACCATTTCACTAGTGTATCTTTTGTACGAAATAATGAGTTTCCTTCAAAATATTCTACTATACTGACCATAATGAATGAAGCGTTCATGTTTGAAATAGAACATATGAAATGTAACTCTTTGCTCAGTATCAACACTGACATTCGAATACATATGTCTGATGTTTCCGATATAAAACACAGCTTATATTCTTTAAAAGAACTGTTGAGAAAATTTCACCTTTACTCAATCATATGATTAGATGTTTCGTATTATGGTGGACTTTCGTTCTCTGAGCTGGATAATGTTTTGGTTATGGAGCTTTCATCGTTCTTCTTTTGAACACAGCATCAGCACTAACTTCAGGTGGAGCTGAAGTATTCTAATTTCTCTAAATTTGGCCTATAGTCTGTTCTTTTAACCTCGACAACGACATGTTCAAGGTCAACAACAACTTGTCAAGATCGAGGTTAACAGAACAAGCTATGAGTCATGCGCGTGGAGAAATTCGTGCTGATGATGTTATATTCAGCAGAAGAACAATGAAAGCTCCACCACAATCACCCAACTGACTTACAAATTCTCTCCACCATCTCAAGATTAGTTTACTGACCATTATTCTATACAACGAAGTTAATCCTACTTACTTTTTTATCTATTCAAATTCATTATTTTGAATATTACAGTAATTACATTTTATGAATATTTTAAAGTACTTTTTCTATTAAACATTTATTGTAATTCGTAAATAATTTACCATCAATTGTCAAATGTAGTTATACTTTATATTATTAAATATGTATATACATATTCTACCTTCCTTATCAGCAAAAACATTAGCTATTCATGTCATATCATAAATTAATTATCGTGAATTAATTATGGACATAAATTATATCCCAAAAACGTTTTAAATATTCAACAAATTATAATGGAAAGATAATAAGCAAAGGAGGATTTTTTGAATTCTTAGATATGCTATTATTCAGTAGCCAGCTCACTCTATAAGAACAAATGGCAAACTATAAAGAATATAAATAGAGATTAGCGAGAAATGTTTCCGTCATCAAGTTTATGTTGAGGACGTTAGATCCCTAGAACTCGTTAGATCAATGTCTTATTTTGAATTTCACGTTTACGAGCAAGGACTGATCAGTTGACCTTGAGATCGCATTTCCCACCAGGAAAATCCTTGGCTGTGATTGGCTGCTGTGTCATTTTAGTGTACTATTTTTGTGACTGTCCCAAGGACGTTTCTATGATGTATAAATAAACAAGATTTGTGTGCTTGACTGTATTGTGCTTATTGGGCGTTTGTAGAATATACTTTCTACTCTATATCAAGACTTTTCATTAGTCAACAGATTAGGGTAGTCTACCTGGATGCTGGTTCATTGTCTGGTTCGCGTTTCAAGTATACTTAGTGACGAACCTAACAGTTTAATAAGAATCGAAACGAAGGTAGTTGATGGTAGATAATAGTTTTGTCTAAAAATGTACAATTACATTTGCGGTTAATTTCTTTCTCGTCGTAACTGATAACAAAATGAATAGGTGTTTAAACATGACCAAAATTATCTGAGAAGCATCAGCATGCTCCATATTACTGAGTATATGTTATGTAAAAGTCATAAAAGCAGTAACAAAACAAGCTTAAAGTGATTTATAGAGCTGTAGTAGACAACTGTCAATTCATAAATTCAGTAATAAACAATGATCTCCATACATCTGATCAAAAAAATCGTACAATATGCATACTAGTAACTAGTTTCTTGAGGAATTTCTCGGAGTTCTGGTGAGAAGACCTGTGTAACCAGTAGAGTTCAACCCTGTCGGGTGTAGGCAGTAACTAGTGAAGACAGTGAGTGAGGTTCAGCAAAATCCCTCGATTGATCACAGTTAGATTTTCACATTGTTGGATGCCGGTCGCTCCGTGATTCAGAGGTTAGCCGTTCGCGCACAAGACTGAATGCTCTGAGTTTGAGTCTTGACAGTAGCGGGAGTAGTGAATGAGCACTGCTGATAAGTCCCATTTGAGGACGAAACAGCCACCTTTCAGTGCTTTCAGGTTTCTAATGGTGATTGATTCATGATATCAGTAATTGAATAAATGTCAGAAAATGTCAAATCAATAATTGAAAAATTATGAAATATTTATGTAATATGTGAGGGATTAAACAAATCACACTTGAAATGAAAGATCAGTCCTCTAAATAGGTTGGTATAATATTAAATAAAGATAACAAGAATCGATTTCTTTAGATTTCTCATCAATCACTTGGGAATTATAAAGATTTTAAGTTTTATATCATAAATTTCGTGTAAGATATGTATATATATAGATATATTATTTTTCAAAATTCAATTTCACCACAAGTCAATGTAAACAACAATTTTCCTGAATTGATGAAGAAAATATTCAATTGGCAAACCTACTATAAACACCGTACAACTAATGATCTTGGTACAGTTTATTGATCTGTAAAAATTTTATTGGATCATTTCAAATTGATGTGATCTGTAACAATTGATTACAAGTTGTATTTACAGCCATAAAATAAATTTATATTATAACTCTATTTTTACTGCTGTTAAGATGTCATCTAAAGTTTTAAATTCATCTGTAGTTCAATAAAACAGTCATATCTAAGTTATGAGTACTTTTTTATGTAGATATATTAGATACTATTACTATTTCACTCTTTCACTTATTCATAAGATAAATTTTTTGAAATAAGTAGCTTATTTTACATTGAATTAATGACTGAATCGTTGTGAGATCAACATTAGAAACCTGCAAGCACTCTATCGTTCTACAATGTGAAAAGCCATGGCATATTCTCCCTAGTGACTAGTACCATGAACGAATTCTTCGAGCTCTAATGAGAAGATGTGACCAGTGGAGTGCCATCCAGTCAGGAGTACTCAGTTACCTACCGGAGAAAATGGATGAAATTGCGATAAAGTCCTTAGACTCATTAGATTTAAACATTAACACTGTTGCATGTCAGCTAGGTAGTCCAGAGATTAAAACGTTTGCGTGCAATACCGAAAGTTCTCGGTTCCAGTCGTGCGACTAGCGAGAGTCGTACATGCGCAC